AGAAATCAAGTAGATCTGTCTATCATTGTAATTACAGTTTTAAAGAAGAATTTTTTACAAAACAAAACCTTCAAGAAAAACTCCTCCTTTATGTTTACATATAAATTTCAAATTTTTTTAAGTCAAAATCTAGATGGTTTTCATTAATATATAGCTCTCACAAGAATAAATTTTATATATCATGAGATCATGTGATCATCTGCTGAGAATTTCTTATAATGCTTTACTTTGGCATTTAAAAATTTATATACTTTACGTACGTATGTGTATATGTGTGTGTGTATCATGTAATCACAGTTTCTTTTTTAATTCCTTAGAAAGTTTTATCCCTGCAATTTAAAAATTCAGAGTAAAGAAATACAATATTTGGCAACCTTAGCCATCAACGTCATTCGAGAATTCTTTTGTTTTCTTTTATAATTTACATATCATAATATTCACTCTTTTAAAATATACATTTCCATGGTTTTTAATGTATTCAGCATTGTATAACCATCACCACTATCTAATTCATTTCAGAACATTTCCATCAGTCCCCAAAAGAAACCTCATACCTGTTAGCAGTAACTCCGCATTCCCCACATCCCCCAACCCCTAATTCTGTCTCTGTGGATTTGCCTATTTTGGACACTTTGTATAAATGGAATCATAAAATGTTTGACTTTTTGTATCTGGTTGCTTTAACTTAGCGTAATATTTTCGGAGATCATCCATGTTATAGCATGTATCAAAACTTCATTCATTTTGTGGATATACGACCTTTTATTTATCCATTCATTAGTTCATGAATAATTGAGTTTTTTTCCCTACACTTTGCCCATTATAAGTAGTGTCTTCTTGAACATTCATGTATAAGTTTTTAACTGGATGTATGTATTCAATTCTCTTGTGAATATATCTAGGAGCAGAATTGCTGGATGATATGGTAACTCTATGTTTTACTTTTTGATAAACCACCAAACTGTTCTCTTCAGTGATTGCACCAATTTACAGTCCCACTAGCAATGTATGAGGTCTCTAATTTCTTCACATACTCACCAGTGATTTCCATCTTTTTGATTATAGCCATCGAAATGAGTGTGAAGTTGTTCTCACTGTGATATCGACTCCTAGTATAATTGATAACTTGAATAGTAAAAATATGAAGGTCTAATAATTGCCTTGATATTCTTAATAACGTATCATAATATCTTAATAACATATCACTACAACAACTAGTTAATATAACTAGCAGTTAAAGTAGCTGCCATTTTTCATCCTCTTTTATTCCAGAATACGTGGTCATCAGGAAAGGCTGACCCACTTCCACTGGAGGCATGACATAAAAGCATGCCTGAAAATAGAATTTGGCGTAGGGGGGTAGAGGCAACCTTGAAGAATAGCCAGTTTATATCGGTTCCTGGCCTTTGGGAGAAAGTGTTACAGGTTGGCGTATATTCAAAGAGTAGTCTCTTATTGTTTGGTCATTTACATAGTTCAAGAAAATGAGTAAATGTTCCAAGCTAATTTTGAGCATAACGTACTAAATTAGAAGCCTAAGGAGAAACATTTAACATACTCTAGATGGAAAGAACAAAGAATATTCTAGCAGTCTGAATCAGATATTCTTCCCTGCTCTCTGCTGCCCTAGTTGGTAATTTTTTTCATTCTAGATCTGACAGCACAAACTGGGAGAGTTAAAGCCTTCCCTTAGCACTAGCTCTAGTCTCAGCGCTCTCATTTACAGGTGAGGAGAATTAGTCTTAAATTAATTAACAGCTTTTCTCAAGTTCATTTAGATGGTGATGTGGCGCTCTCAAACCATGTACTCACTCTCAGCACTGTTTTTTATAGTACTTGATAGTCTCTATAGGTTTTGTTTATTTTTATCGATCATATATTGTAGAACTGTAATGTTGTCCTTGCTCTCAGAGAACTTAAAATCCGGTGCTGAGATGCACCAGTAGCCAATTCACATAACTTTGTAAAACGTGCTATAAAGAGGTAGAAACAAGGAGCTATAAAAGTACAAAGGAGCCACCAGACCAAGCTGGAGGCAAGGGATATCATTGGAAAAAAGATGATATCTAAGAGGAGTCCTGACCAGTGCCTGTTGGAAGAAGAGGGAGTATGTGTGGCTGAGTAGCATGTGCAAAGTTAGGCAGAGAGAGAAAGCCCAGTTTAGGAAGCCCAGTAAAGGAAGTTGAGCTTCACGGGAAGGAGGAGGTAGTGAGTAGGGAGAGTTGATCTAGAACTAGATAAGAAAAGGCTTTGTTTGCCCATTTAGAAGAGTTTAGACTTTATCTTAAAGGATAATGAGTGAACATTATGCAAAGAAGGGCAAGAACAGTATCAGATGTACATTTTAGCAAGGTTTCTCTGATAGTAGCGTATACAGTGTTTAGAAAATAGCCATGCAGGAGGGGGAGAGGATCACTATATTCATTCTGCAAGGATTTTGTAACAAGCTACTCTATTTCCAAGCACCATGCTTGGTCACTGATGATAGAGTGAGGAACGTGGCAAGGCCCTAAGTTCACGGAGCTTACAGGTGTAATGTACCAGGGAAGAAATGGTATCGGCCCAAGCTTGTAGCTAGAGCAAAGTGAACCTATTTAAAATGTATAAAGGAGACTAAAGTAGCAGTCTTGGTAACTGACTGCATGAAGCTGCAGATGGGGAGGGAGAAGGCAAGAATGACTATAGGATCTCTGTCTTGGCAGCTGTTTATGGTTGTTTCATCCACAAAGGAAGTGAATATAGAAGTAAAATGTAGTTTCTGTGTTCTGTGCCAGTCACTGATGCAGGACTTTCCAATATCAAAAGAAAACTGTCAATGGGTGTTTTAATGCTCCAATTATAATTACTTCAAATATTTGGAAGGAAAAGTTCATCCTAATAGAGGAAGTGCAATTATTAAAACTGAACTGAAAATGTTAATAATTTTTCAGATGAGATATAGGTACTAATGTAGAGTTCTAAAGTTTGAACTCAATTTAATTATTCTAAAATTAGATCTAAAACTAACATCTAAAGGGGAAAAGTTAAATAACAGAGCAGGATGTTAAATCAATATGATTAATTAACTTGATATAAATAACTTGAGTATTACTGTGTTTATCTGTAAATCATTTATCATGGTACCAGCTGTAAAAAAAAAATCTTAATAATAATGATAATGATGTGTGTCATCCTCCCACCCACAGAGGTGTCGTGACAAATGGTTAACAAACCGTCTAACCGCACTTCACAGATTCAAATGCTAACATAATAATAATAAAATCAATAATAATAAAATCAACAATGGAACAACTAATTCTGATGCAGCTTAGAAAGGGAAATTTATTAAAACTTTCACTTCACATATGAAGAAAGTACCAAAACAGAACTCTTCGTCCATCGAAGTCCATATTTACGTTTGGACTTGTAAATTTCAATGAGATGAGGAAGGAGCACAGAGAAAGACAGGAGAAACATTCTTATAATTTATTAGGATGTGGAAACTGATCTTTCTGTCTCTTCCTCTACCTCTCTTTCCTTCTTCTTCCTCTCCTTCTTTCTCAAATGAAGCATTGACCATTCCCATAGAATCAGTTACCAAATCCAGAACAGTACACAAATACGTATCTTCCATCCCCACACTGACTTTCATTGTTCAAGGCCTCATTTGTCCTCACTTAGACATTACATGAACCTCTTAAAAGTTCTGATTTCCCTGGTCTCTCCTGACAGAAATCAATGTGCTTATTTTCAACCAAATTTATCTCCTGAAGTGTATTTGGACATGCCTCTCCCCACCTACCTAAAGGAGAAAGTTCACGCTTCTTAGCGTGTCATACAAGGCCTTCTATCATCTCAACCCACCTTTTTCTTAGTTTTAATTTCCTCCCCACCTTTTCACAAAAAGGAAGTTTAACAGAAGGCCTAAGATTTTTCAAATATAAGTACTCCCTTTGTAACCTTATAAAATTTCTCAGACCCCACATATTATTTCTATTATTCAGTCTGCAGACCATGCTTGTGCACATGGATTCATAGCCTGCTCACTACTAAAGCCAAACCTGCCTGAGGGCGCCCTGCACGTTTCCTGAAGGTGCCTTATGCTGGCCTACCCCTGGCACTTGTTCATGCAGCATGCTCCCATCTGAACAGCCCTCCCCAATATCTTACCTATTGGGAACTTAATTCACCCTCAGGAGTCAGTTCAGATGTGACTCTCCCTAGAGATTTTTCTTCCCTTAAAATTGTGTTTCCACAGCTTTGGCATTCTAGAACTGCCTGCTTTAATAGGAAAAAGTCAAAAATCGCAACTCTGCCGCTAACTCACTATGTAGCCTTGTAAAATGAAGTAGGTGAACCAACTATTAGTCAACTCTTTTCTGTTCTACCATGCTAAATGTTTAATTAGAACATTTTAATTTTTCTTTAGAGTTATCTGAGTACCAGATCCGTCTACCTCTGAGAAACTAGCATTGAATATTTATTGTGTATATATTATGTGTCAGGAATTCTGAAAGCCACATAATTTATGTTTTCTCTTTTACTACAAGCAACTCAATATGGTAGATGTCATAATCTCTGCATGGATAAACTGAGGTTTAACAATTTCTGAGTCCCCTGTTCTTTATGTCTCATACAGTCATAGCTCAGTGCCACAAACACAGCAGACACTCAGCAAAGGTTAAATTCCCTCTTCTGTTTCACATTAGGATGTTTTATTATTCCAGATGGAAATGTGATATGATCTATCGTATGATAGAAACTGATCAATGGTATTTTCTGCCATCATTTAGCTGCAGGTCGAATTTAAGTTGCTGTAGGTTTTTAGGAGAGAAATGAGAAACTTGTTAAAAGATTTAGTATGGGCCTCTTTTTAACTGTCTTATTTTATGGGACAAATTTCTCTGTCATAAGTCCCATATTCATGGGATCATGTTTGACTATTCATTGGTAATCATTGTTTTGTTGGCTTTATTTCCCTGGCCCTTGTTACACTGAGATGTTTACATCCCAGGAATCACAGTTCCCAGTTCTTGGACAAAATGACTCTACTCCACAGTTCACTCAGTTTACTAGCAAGGTTGTATGCCAAGTAGAGAAGATTCAAATCCAGGATCTCTACAGGGAAGATGATGACCCTGGACTTCTTAAATCTTTGAAATAATTTCAGAGGCAATGAAAAAGTTTCTTCTGAATTGAACCTCTCTGGGTTCTGGATTTCTGTGGCTTCCTTCACTGCCTGTGTTTTAGTACAGCGGTATGAATAGGAAAACTGGTAGTACTAGGGGATTATCCTCCCCCCAGCACTCTGTGCAATATTTTAAAGGTATCCCAACATTATAGGTTATGCTGAAATAATACAGCCTACTTGGTATTACATTCTGTATTCATATTTACTATAAAATGTCCTGCTACAGCACATTCCTTAACTTCCTATGGAGAAAGATGTAATGTACAACAGAGAAGTGCATTTTTTAGAAACACTGAAATGAAAGTTGTTGATTTTAAGAGACATTTTGTCACAGATGAGTGAGGGAGAAAGAGATCAAACCAGCAAGTCTAGCCAATCCAAGGTTTCGTTCATACATCTCTTCTGCTTAGTGCTTTCCCCTTCGGTATCATTAGCATTTTCATTTCGAAAAATGACAGTCTGCAGTGGAAGCAGTAAAAATGTTCAACCTGTGGTTTAAATTATTGATTTTTTAGAATATTGAAGCAGTATTTCAAATGGATTTTGTTAGAGATACTTCTGGGTGGGGGGTTTCAAAGGTAATTTGATATCCAAAAGCCTGTATATTTCAAAGACTTTCCATTCTTTGAATTTCTTTAGACTCTGGCTGATTGGATAAAAATGTTTATTGTCTTCAGGATTATAAGTAGCAGATCACTGCTGCTTGAACTTGAAACATATATTTGCAGACTATACTCTTCGTGATTTATGGTGTATGTTCAGGCTATGATCAACTGGCAAAATAAATCTTTATTTCAAAACAAAAGCTGATTTTAAAATGAAGGAAAACATACTGTGATTTGCACGCATTGAAGGTCAATAGTACAACTGATAGCTAATTTATTGTAATAAAGCATGCAAGGCGTGGTTCTATAAAAATGGATTTTAATGAAGCTCCTCCAATTGTGTTATGCTAATAGGGAATAGAGTGTGGCTGCAGAGATTTTCTTTAAAATCTTTTTAAGTCTCTCACCACAGTCAACACTTACATGTGAACAGAAAATGTTTTGACAAGGAGCGAGGTTACTGACTGCTGTGTATATGCTGTGCAGGTAGTTTGCTATTCCCAGCATGTTTCTACTTATGGAAAAAAGCTACTTAAAAAAATTACATTATATCAAAATGGATAGATCTGCAATCATTCTACAAGCCGAAGCCCTATTGAAGTCAATGAGGGCTTGGAGTGCAAATTTATGAATGTATAGAGCTTAATATTTGGAGAGTTACATCATATTTTGTGATGTCAAGTATCACACAGCAATGAGATGACACAAATTTGAAATAAAAGCTGATATTCCCTCCTTGACGAGTGGAAATGAATTCAAAATACAGTATCAGAAGAGATCTTCTTGAGGCATTGGGACATGAAAGGGAAACTTGCTACTGAATACATGAGATGTATCTGTAATAACTCCTGTTAATGCTTAAACCAGCTCAAAAATGCCTTCCCAATGGCAGTGCTACCATGAAAGTTGGTTGGAGAATCTGCTGATGTTACTACTTTTGAGGGGAAAAATATTTAAATCTGAGGGTGCAAAACCCCAGGATCAAATCCTTTGGGGGAACTTACCTTCCTCTAAAAACTTTATACGGTGGACGATATGACTGAAGCAATTTATGTATTATTATGACATAGATCATCTGATTTAATCTTCACGACAGCTTTTAGAAATAAGAAAGTTATATCTTTTCATATTGTTTCATAATATTATAATTAAAGAAACAGAGTTCCAGAGTAGTAAGTAAACTATTCAGGGTCACACAGCTATTAAATGGTGAATCCAGAGTTCTTACTCAGGTTTACCTAACTCCAAAGCCAATGCTTTTCTAATACACAACACTGCTTCCCATTGTTCTTTAAAAATGGCATCAAAAGCAGCTTAAAAAGAAAATGAAGGCAGAGAAGAGCAGTGAGCCCTCACAGTTACACAATATATATGATATTTAGTTCTTTTTAAGATTCAGGGGTAAAGCCACTCATGTCTTCTCTCTTCCCCCATTCATTAGGTGCTTTCCTGATTGAAAACAATTTCTGTGTGATTATGTCCTAGGCAGTGTGGGCGGATTAACTCAGTGAATCTCCAGAACAACCTGTGTAGTATATATTAATATTAGTCCCATACAATAGAACTGTAAGGAATTGTTGTGAATATTCAGTGAGTTGATGATGATGACAATGATGATGATGATGACGACGATGATGATTTACTAATAAAGGTATTATAATTATCAATACTTCATAGGAATAAAACAGAGTCACAGAAGGGTTAGTGACTTGCCCCACCAATATCACACAGTGGTTAATTTGGCATAATGATGAAAGTACTAGATACGTTTCTTGGCATCTAGTAAGTGCTCAAAAAATATTATAAGTATTATTATTAAGGTACATGTTTAGACCAAGAATCAAATATTTATTGAATGATGAACTAATGAATAAAGCCAAGCTCTGCAATTTGCTATGGGACTTTTGGCAAGTTATTTCAACTCTAAGTTTCAGCTTCCTTATTTGTAAAATTGTTGTAACGAAATATTAATAACTGTAATTTACTGAGTTCATCCAGTGTCAAGTATACTTCTAGCATGGAACAGGAGGAAAACCTTAGCAAGTGCTTAGGACATAGTAAGTGCTCAACAAAGGCTAAATATTATCCTGGATGTATTTTGTTATCCTCATTATAGTAGTAGAGGATTAACCATGGCAGTAACCTCAGGTCAAGTCTGTGATGTGTCCTGGAGTAAGTCTACCACATGTGGTTGTAATGGGAATAGAACCTTCTGGAATAGTCTGAGCTTTGCTGAGTCAGCATTTCCCTACCTTTACTGTGCTAAATACATCCAGTTATTAGGACTGTACTTTTGTCCTGATTTCAAGGTAGGACCATGAGCCCAGATCTTAAACCCAGTCTACTTAGTGTAGCACATGCCAAAAACTCTTTAGTTCCTTGAAAATACATTTTTCCTCCCAATAATTTCTCCTCAATAAAGAGTTCCTGATATCGGCAAGTATAAATAGTTTATGGATTGTCTTTTCAACTAAGTTTTACGTGCTTGAACAGTGGTATCATCTAGTTACAGCCACCATCTTTCAGACTTTACACCTGTAGGTTCATACTAATTTGTGGTTATAGCTTATAAAATTGAGATTACAAAGGGATTTAAATTTACAAAAGGCACAAATATTCTTTATGTATATATATAGAAAATTGTCTAAGGTGGGGACACAGGCAGAGATATTAGATATAGGACCTGCTTTGAAAATCTGAAAGGGACAATGGAACTTAGCATTCATGTCATGTTAAAAACTTTTACTACAGAAAATTTCAAAATATAGAAAGCATACCCATCCCCACGCTGCAATAATTATAAGTTCATGGCCAGCTTCTTTCATTTTTGCTTTACCCATTCGTCTCAGTCCAGGTTATTTTGAAGTAAATATCAGTTGTATGATTTAGTTGGTACATATTTCAATATATATCTCTAAAAAGATAGACTCTTTTAAAATGAAAACAATACCAGAATAACAACTAAAATTGATTAGTAATAATTCCTTAATATCATAAAGTATCCAGTCAGTCTTCATGTTTGCTTTTACTTTTTATAGTTTGTTTGTTTAGTGTGCTTTGAAAATTTAGTGTGTCCAAATAAGATCCCTATGTATCAATTGGTTAATATTTCTCTTAAATCTCTTTGAAAATTTCTGTCTCTTTTAAAATTTTCCTTGCAATTTTTGTTAGAAAAGCTAGCTAGTCTGTCCTTAGAATTTGCCAAAGTCTGGATTTTGTTGATTGTCTCCCTGAGCTTTCATTTAAAATGGTCTCTTAGCCCTCAGATTTCTGATAAAATGATGGTTAGGTCTAGAGACTCGATGATATTTGTTGTTGTTTTGGCAAGAATATCTAATAGGTAGATTGTATACTTTCTGTCAGGATATGCAAAATGGCTGCTTTTCTCTATTGATGATGCTTGTAAATAACTATTGCTGATCTCGAGTGACCATATATCCCAATGTTACATCCCCAGGTTACATACGTTTTCGCAGTGTTTAAATAGTGCCTCGTTTAGAGAATAAATTTTATTATCACTCTACATGGATCTATTAATTTATTTGGCATTATGTAAACATGATATGTTAATTCTATCTTACCTTCTTCAAATGTGAACTAGAATTCTATAAAGAGAAATGTCCTACCAAGAATGATTTGGTAGCTGAAGTAGGGTTCATACAGGAGAAGCAAGATAAGTACTTCATTTTTTTTCCATTTATTTATCAGCTTTCACATGGCTTTAATACTTTTTTACAGTTTGACAGCTTCCTTGCTTTTTGTTGGGATAAAGTATTCTAGACTCATTTTGCTTTCTACCCATCCAGAAGTGGAATTAGCCATTTGTTCAAGCCATCTGTTTCCACTTAATAGAAAAATAGTATTTAGAGACCACAGTCTGGGTCCTGGGGCTGCTCATTGCTGCTAGGTTGGTCATAGCTTTTGGCTTTTATAGTAGACAGAGATAGGAAATGTTAATTGTTTAAAGATAAAGTAAATCATGGTACTGATCTTCCCAACTCAAATTCAGGACTACACGATTCTTAGTTAACACTGTCAATCTTACATCTATACTTTCTTTCTTCCGTACTACACACAGCAATACCAGAATAACATTACTAACACTATCCAACATGTTTATTACTGAAAATATTTTGATATATATTTTATTTTGTTTTGTTTTGTTTGCCATTATGTTTGTCCCACTAGAGATGTACAAATTACTGTGCTTTAAAGTACCTGTACTGTATAGCACCTCTGCATGTGGTTATGCCACTAGCTGGTTTTAAATCATGTAGAATATGTGCCTGGTTCCAGGGCCAAATCTATAAAACAAGATACAAAGAAGTAGAGCTTGTATTTCTGCTCTTTCACCCTGTTCTCTCCCTATCCCAGAGGCAACCAGTTATTTTTTAAAAATTTATTATTTATTCTTCCATTGATTTCATTATGAGTATAAACATCCATATCTCCCTTTTCTTGGTTAAACTGAGAATTTTATACATTCTTTTCTCCATCTTGCTTTGTTTCAGTAATTTTTTTGTTTTGAGATAACGGTAGGTTCACATGCAGTTGTAAGAAATCATACAGAGAGATTCTATATACCTTTTACACAGTTTCCCCCAATGGTAACATCTTGCAAAACTATAGTACTATAGCACAACCAGGATGTTGGCATTGATACAACCCACCAATCTCATGCAGATATCCCAGTTTTACGTTTACTGCTTTGTGTATGTGTTCGTGTATATTTAGATCTAGGCAGTTTTGTCATATATATAGGTTCATCTATCTACCACTACAGTCAAGATATAGAACAGTTCCATCACCACAAAGATCCCTCACGTTGCCCTTTTTTTTTTGTGTGAGGGAAATTAGCCCTGAGCTAACATCTGTTGCCAATCCTCCTCTTTTTGCTGAGGAAGATTGGCCCTGGGCTAACATCTGTGCCCATCTTCCTCTACTGTATATGGGACGCTGACACAGCATGGCTTGATAAGCAGTGCATAGGTCCGCGCTGGGATTTGCACCTGCGAACCCTAGGCCGCGGCAGCGGAGCACATGAACTTAACCACTACGTCACCACATGGGCCCCTTACGTTGCCCTTTTAAAACCACACCTATCTCTATCCTCTCTCTCTTTGCATCGCTAACCTGTGGCAACCACTAATCTGTTCTCTATCTCAACAATTTTATCATTTCAAGAGTATAATATAAATGGATTTATATAGTATGTAAACTTGGGGGATTGGCTTCTCTTTTCATTCAGTATCATTTCCTTGAGCAAGTTGTTGCATATATCAATAGCTGGTTCCTTTTTATTTCTGAGTGGTATACCATGGTATGGTTGTATCACAGTTTGTTTAACCAGTAACCTGTTGAAAGACATCTGGGTTGTTTCCAGTTCTTTGCTAATAAAAATAAAGCTGCTGTGAACATTTGTGTGCCCATTTTTGTGTGGACATGAGTCTTCGTTTCTCTATGATAAATAGGCAGGAGTGCAATTGATGGGTCATATGTTAAGTGTATGTTTAATTATAGAAAAAACTGCCAAACTATTTTCCAGAGTGGCTGTAACATTTGACATTCCCACGAGCAGTGTATAAGTGATCCAGGTTCTTTGCATCCTCACCAGTACTTATTGTTGTCATTTGTCACTTTTGTTTTAGCTATTCTCATAGGTATATAATGATATCTCATTGTGGTTTTAATTTGAATGCCCCAATGGCTAATGATGTTGAACATATTTTCATTTGCTTATTTGCCATCTGTATATCTTCTTCAATGAAATTTCTGTTTTTCCATATGGCTTTTTAAATTTCAATAAATATCCTAGAGGTCACTCTATAATGGAATATGAAGATATTTCTCTTACCTTAATTCTAATGTATAGTTTTCCATTGTGTGGATATACTATAATTGAAAAAAATATTAATATAATGAATTATATTGCAAAACTTGGTCATCTTTAATTTCAAGCACTTCAGTAAATAAATGTTCATCTGTTATAGGTTTAAGAAAATTAATTTGTTTTAGCTTTTCATTTCTTAGAAATTATGTGAAATATGACCTACGGGTACAGATAAAATGATTCTTATAGAATGCATCTCCAAAATGCCCTTACTTTTATTTAATTTTTAAATAGTTCTATCTCCTTTTTTAATCATTAACTGATTGATATTTTAATGGTGCTATTTATAACTTTGCAAAAATAATAAAATGAATAACTTATGAAGAGAAAATCTATTCTGCATATACATTTGGACATACCTTATACACAAAGAAAACATTTATTTAGTTCTAGAAATTTTCAGTAGATTAATGTTCTGAATACTGAGAGGTAAATCCATAGAATGAATAAACGAACAAAATTAAGATCAGAATAAAAATATCCCAATCTTTTAGAGTGTTAGAAATTCTGTATTAATCTTAAATTCATATGAAAATTGTTTTGGATAAGACTAACAGTGACGTATCTTCCTGTTATATACAGGAACATTAAATGTAAAGAATTCTAAATTAATACGATGTTTCTGGATAACAGAAATGGAATGAGTAACAGTCTTTTGTAACATTAACATCTTGTACTGATTTAGATTGTATAAATTATATACTCTCAACCCATGATCATGATGGCCTAGGTTCTATATTATTTTGTAAGTCCATACATTAGAATCATGAAACTCGTGAGCAATTTGTCATAAAGTTTGGAAAGGCTCAAGTTTCAAAAAAGTGTGTGTATTGTTTCATACATAATGCAATATATTAGAAGTACAAAATTTATTATTTCCTTCAGCCCCTAAAAATTGTACAGTATGTTGACTATAGTTAATAATACTGTTGGGTATATTTGAAAGTTGCTAGGAGAGTACATCTTAAAAGTTCTCATTACATTTAAAAAAATTCTAACTGCATTTGGTGATGAATATTAACTAGACTTATTGTGGTGATCATTTTACAATATATACAAATAGCAAATAATTATGTTTTATACCTGAAACTAATATTATATGCCAATTATATCTCAATTTAAAAAAGAGAAAAAAAATGTAAATGGAGGACTAAAATAATTTCATAATATATTACAATACACTTTGTGTATAGTTTTTATTTTTACATAGTTTACATATGTTTATATTACAATTTTACTATTAAACATTAACTTTTAAATTTTCAAAGAAACAACACTTTCCTAATTTTATAATTGAATGTTAACTCAATGAATAGACAGTAACAAAATTATGATTTGCCTCTTTAAAATGACTAATTGTCACATAATCTGGATAATTGGGGCAGTGCATGAATAGTAAAAATTACTAACACCAGATACAATGTATCACTTCCTGTTAAACATTGCAGTTTCATCACACATGTTAAAGTCTTAATTTCCACTACAATACCCCAATAAAATTTCTTTAAAGAAATTTTTAAAAACTGTGCTATTTATACAAACTCACAATGACAAATGTATCAGATGAAACAGTGGACCAAGGATACCAACAAACTTCTGGAATAGAAAAAGTTAAGGGACTAATAGTGGTAAGTCACTTTAGCAGACTAAAGAAATCTGGAACTTCATTGTCTATCTGAGGCTAGCCAGAAAGTTGCTTCAAGACAACTCCAGCTGCAGAAACTTGCAAAAGATAAGCAATTGTATTCCTAAGGATGAAATATGAAAAATGACCAAGTATATTTGAAAAGGAACCAAATAGAACTAGAAACCAAAATATGTGATACTGAATTTTAAAAAAAACCTCAATGAACTGATTAAATAGCTAAAGAGAACAATAGGGAACTGGAAGATAGATATGAAGAAAGGAGATGGATAATATGAACAAAATATTAAAATACATGGAAAATATAATGCGAAGTTCTAAATTAGAAAATGTCAGAGTTCTAGAAAATAGGCAAAATAGGGAAAAGCCAATATTTAAAGAGAGAATAGCTCAGAATATCCAAAAATGTTGAAAGATCTAATTCATAAATTCAAGAAACTCAGTGATCTCAAATAAATTACATGAACAAACTCCTATCTACGCATATCATAATGAATTTACAGAAGATCAAAGACAAAGAGAAGACTTTAAAGGTACAGATAAAAAAGAGATAAGGAAAACATGTAATAAAAGACAGAAATCACAATAATTAAACATAAAAAATGAAGTCATAGTTACCAGAGTAAATACAGGGAGCAGAAAATAGAGAACCAGTGCAGAGAAATAATGGAAGTATTAGAAATTAAAACTATGATAGCAGAAGTAAATAGGTATTAGAAGAGTTGGAAGGTAAAGTTGTAAACATCTTCCCGAAAGTAGAACAAAATGAAAAAAAGTGAAAATAGGAGAAAAAAGATAGGAAAAATAGAGAATGTGACTAGTAGGCTCAGTATTCTAAGAGCAGAGGTTCTACATGGAGAAGTCAAAGCAAATAAAGGGGAGACAATTTTTAAAAACATAATACAAGGAAATGTCCCAGAAATGAAGAGCCTGGGGCCACCCTGCACAATGGAATAACAAAGACCCACACCAATGTTTTTCATCATAAGATTTCTTAATATGGGATTAGGAAGAAGATCCTAGGAGATTGTAGAGAGAAAATAAGCAAGTCACATATAAAGAAAGGAGAATCCAAAAACACAACATTGAAAATTAGAGGACAGTGTCTTTAAAAATCTAAGGGAAATTGTTTTTAATATTTAATTCGATACCAACCAAAATATCAATCAAATATGAAGGGAAGACAAGTATATTTACTTTCCATGAGCCCTTTTCCAGGAAGCTATTGGAGAACATTCTACAACAAAAGGAGGAAATCAATGAAGGGAGCCAACCCCGGACTGAGGCAAAAGGAATTTCTGGTTAGGATTGGGGAGAAAAATTCCAGGATAAGAGGTGTGCTGTAGACATTGAGAGTAGATGCTGAGAGCAATCTGGGATCAGGCAGTAGAGAGCCTACAGGAGGAATTTTTCAGAACATAGGTGAAACTGCTCAATTATCTGACAGGTTTGACCTTGACCTGCAATTTGGCTCTGCAGTGACCAATATTTACATAGTCACCAACATAAAAATATTGATTCCAGATTTCTGAAATTTTTTTTTTCTGAAAAAAGAATTTTTTTTTTTAACTGAAAATGTGTTCGGTTTTAATTGAAATTTTTTTTCTGAAAAAAAAATTTTTTTTTTTTAACTGAAAATGTGTTCAGATGTGTGGGGAAGTTGGAGGAGAATAAATTTGTGTGAGAGGTTATATAAAAGAACTAAAATCTTAGCCTCCATGATAGGAAGTTAGAATTGAAAGCAGAGGCAGTGGGGGGACTTTCCCTGCACAGACATCACTGGCTTCTTCTATGTACCCAATCAATGCGGAAATGTGGACTTTTTCTTCACTTGCTACTCATGTCATGAGAAATAAATTTGTTATCTTTGATTTCCAATATAATAACAACATGCTTCTTTGTTATCACTAATGAAACTGCACGTATCCTTCATTTATCCACACTAGTTTTTTGGCCATGTGTGCCTGAATCTGGTTCAGCCCTTACTTCAAGAAAAAACAGTGGAATTTAAGTATGTATTTTGTCTTAGAGTACTCACATGGAGGCAGTGTCTCTGCCTCAAGTTCTTCACCCTAAATAATCTAATGATGTCAGTCAATACTTATAGAATTGTAGCAATCTTAAACTCTAATGGAGAAAGAAAAATATAGGTGTCTGTGATGTGTGCATTGATTTTAACAGTTCATCCTTAGTGGAAAATGTAAGTGAATATGTGTTCAGGTGGATAACATCACTTTAAAGGAGGAATAAGACAGTTTAATGCAATGGAAAGAACTGGATACATCCACATATTAAATAACTGTATAGTTCACTGATTGACAGTAAATCTCTACATCCAGCTTTTATATATATCCCCTAGACCCCTCTCTCAACAACAGCACTGTGCTTCTTCAATTGTTATCAAGTTGACATGTAATATACCTTTTATAACTTTTAATGTGATAGACCTTTCCTTTCCGCCACTCCCCATAGGAGAAGGTAATGCATCTGCTTTAGTAAAGGCAATATGTGAAAAAAATACTTTCAATGCAATGATGATTTATAATCCACTATTAGTGCTTTATATCCTTCTCTAGGAGTATGTGTGCGTGCGTGTGTGTGTGTGTCTGAATGTACATATGTATACAGAGAGAGAGAAAAAGTAAAGATCATATAGTTTTCTAAGAGAAACTAGTAATTTAAAATATTTATATGATACAATGCAGGTATCAATTAGTTGAATGAAACATTATAATCAAAAGAACCATGGCTTTTTATTTTAAGAAATAGTTTTAACTTCATCAAGTATTAAAGATTCCAATAAAATAGTTATGTTAATATATGTAGTTTTATTTATCTGTTTATTGTCTATGTCTTATAGTAGAACATAAGCTTCGTGAAGGCAAGTACCTCATTGGTATTATTCACTCATTTATTTAATAACTACATAATTCTCATAGTATGGATTGGATGTAGCATAATTAATTCAACTCTTTCTTTCTTGATGGACTTTTAGATTTTACAGATTTTTGTCACTATCAAATGTTCATATTTGGTGACGTATACTATTATTTCTCTATACTAGATTCCTAAAAGGGGGATTCTGATTCAAAAGTATATATATTATTTAATTTTCAGAAACACTGAAGATTAATTTTCAAAAATGTCCTAGCAGTTCACACACCCAATAATGTTAGAGCATCCATCCCCACCACCACCTCCAGCACTGGATGTTATCAGTCTTTTAAACTTTTTGCTGGGCTGCAAAACTATTTGGGTGAAAAACGGCATCTCCAGGTTCACATGTGTGTTTTCCTGACTGCTAGTGAGGGTGAGAACATTTCACATCATTGTTCATTTGTACTTTTCTTCTTCTATGAAATTATTGTGCACATCCTTTGACAGCTTTTCTTTGTTTTCCCCAGAGCTTTATTGAGTAATAATTGACAAATATTGACCATTTTCTTATTGAGTCATTTTCCTCTAACATTTTGAGTTGTACTTTTGTGCATAAGGGATAGTAATCTTTAACATACCAATTTTTATATCATATTTTCCTTTAGCCTACTTTTTATAACTGTTATAAAACTAAAATTCGCCTTTAGCAAAGTAATATATACACAAGGTTAAACATCAAATAATACTAAAAATATTTTGATGAAATTCAGCTGTTCCCTGCCCCACCTTTTCACACTGGCCTTTTTTGTTCTTGCAAAGCAACTACTTTCAATTCTTACCATTTTTTAGGGTGTTTTTTAAGTCTATGCATCTAAATAATATACTTACAGTGCCATTTTTTTTTAGTTAGACATTTTCTATTGACTTCCTGTCATAGTTCCTGAGGATTTAGTTCTCAATTATTAATGTTTACCTTACCATATCTATGTAAATATTGTTCGTTGTTGACTCAAGTGGTGTGCAATGATTATGTTTCCTTTGTCTCACAAATGTTTGTTTTAGGAGGACTTAATAATGGCAACTTTTAAAAAAAAGTTCTATTTTTTTATATAACTATCATTATTTTTTCCTATATGTTTTACCTGATTGGTTACATAGGTATAAGTACTGTTTCCACACAAATTTCCAAAGCTTCAGTCAGTTGTATTCTATCTTCTGGATACTAACCTCTCCTGTTATAATCTAGACTCGTTTTATTTCTTAGTGCTCAAATTACTTTATGCTACTCTCCATGTTTCCTGAATCCTATTTCTTTCTCTCTTGGTTTGGTCTTTTTTTCCCCTAAAACCAATCCTCCAGAAAGCTTCTCAGAAAGGATGTATAGTACATATATTTTTAGAATTCTTTCAGATTTAAAATTTCTAGCTTAAAATTTCTCTCTCTTCAAAAATTTGAAGGCAGTGCTTCTAGCACTTAATGCTGCTATTGAGAAATAGGTTTTTCAGACAGAAAGAAATAGAAGAGAAGCAAGATATTGCAATATCTGTATCAGGGAAGCAAAACCTTTTCAGAAATTCTCAGATTATTTCTCACTGGCTGGATCTATGTGAGATGGTCTCCCCTAGGTCCAAGGGAATTTAGAGACGCAAGTCTTAAATTGGGCACATTGTTCCCTCTAATATCAGGATTCTATTATAAGAACACAAATAGGAATGGATATTGGGTAGGCAAAGAACAATGTCTGCTCAATTTGATTTCATTATGATTTGTATGACTAATAACTTATTATTTGACATTTAGCCTGTTTTAAATTTTTTTTCTGTTACAAATAATGCTACACATGGTGTCTGTGTGCACACATCTTTATATTTTCTGACTCATTTTTGAAATAATGTCCTAGAAGTGACATTGTATTTCAAAAAGTATATTTTATGGTTCTTTCTGTTGCCTAATTATTTCAAGTTTTTCAGTGTAAACTCCACTAACAGTCCATTAAGTTCCCTATTTCCTCAAGCTTCCCCCAATACATGGCTTT